AAAAATCAATAATCTCCTCCCCTATTCCGTAGTCCTATACTTCGCAAGGCCGTTACTCCCACCAAAGACGGTCTTTGCTCACACAATGCCGCATTTATTTATGACACGAATGCGCGCAGGTTCAGTGACCGGTCACGATGGCGAGCCAGACAATCTAAAAATCGGACGACGCTTGTATTTTATTTTATTTTTTTCCACAAGTGACAGCACAGAGGCGAGTGCCAGCATTGATTAAATTTTATTTGCACGGCGACCTTGCGTTTATACTGCACAACCTGCATGTCACAAATGTTGCGTCATCAGACATGACAACTGCTGGCAAACTTCTCGGTGGTAACGAAAGCGAAAGTAGATCTTGATTTTCCCGATCGAGCCTCGGTGTCACATACGCTTCCGCCTGCCGCCATAGCTGCCTATTCGCTTGAAAGTGAAACGTACTCTCCGAACCGCGAGAAGCTGAACGAATATAATATCACAATCGCGACCGGCAAAAATAAACTTACTAACCACATCGGACTTGGCTTTCAAATATTCCAGTTCTACGATACTGATACTATTTTGACAAAAGAAGGGACTTGAGATAGGTTTACTCACCTAAGCTGAATCTCGTATTTTTCGCATTCCAGGATGCGTATTTTTTCATGAAAAGTCGTATTCGCGTATTTTCGGCAAAAAATCGTACTAAAATACGTAAAATCGTACTGGTTGGCATCTCTGCCCATGTGAAAGTTGCGCACATTAAAGATCCCTTGGTGGTCCAAAATCGATAAGAGTAGGCTTCAGCCACCATCCAGGCAAAATTCAAAATTTTCTACCAACTGAAAATGTTTGTTTTTTTAGTAAACGTTTTACGGCACTTGCAACATAATAAGGCCATTTCAGTGCCGAAGATTAGAGGTGTTACAAGAGAGTAACAAACACAAAAAAGAAGGAGGGTAGATAAAAGACGATAGATGTGTGATAGGAAAAAAGATGCAAACCGCACCAGAGCACCCGCTAACCACCCACTGAAAATGTGTAATGTGTCCCGCCCACTCATATGACCCTATGCAGTTGCGAGCGCCGTAAACCCCCCCCCCCCCCCCCCCACAGATAGGCCTGGACTTACTGTGTGAGGAAGAAACTTGAGCGTGGGGAAGCCAGGGAAGTACACCTCCGGCCGGACACCCTCCAGGAGCCCCTTCAACAACAGGCTGCCGTTGATCCGGAACAGGTCTTTGTGGATTTCCGTAAGCCTGTGTCACCCATGTGAAGAGATACGGAGAATGAAAAAAGTTGTCAAATATTCCTATGTCAAGAGATACAGAGAATGAAAAAAGTTGTCAAATATTCCTATGTGAAGAGATACAGAGAAGGAAAATGTTGTCAAATATTCCTATGTGAAGAGATACAGAGAAGGAAAATGTCAAATATTCCTATGAGAAGAGATACAGAGAAGGAAAATGTTGTCAAATATTCCTATGTGAAGAGATACAGAGAAGGAAAATGTTGTCAAATATTCCTATGTGAAGAGATACAGAGAAGGAAAATGTCAAATATTCCTATGAGAAGAGATACAGAGAAGGAAAATGTTGTCAAATATTCCTATGTCAAGAGATACAGAGAATGAAAAAAGTTGTCAAATATTCCTATGTGAAGAGATACAGAGAAGGAAAATGTTGTCAAATATTCCTATGTGAAGAGATACAGAGAAGGAAAATGTTGTCAAATATTCCTATGTGAAGAGATACGGAGAATGAAAATGTTGTCAAATATTCCTATGTGAAGAAATACGGAGAAAAAATGTTGTCAAATATTCCTATGTGAAGAAATACGGAGAAGGAAAATGTTGTCAAATATTCCTATGTGAAGAGATACGGAGAACGAAAAAAGTTGTCAAATATTCCTATGAAAAGAGATACGGAGAATTAAAAAAGTTGTCAAATATTCCTATGTGAAGAAATACAGAGAAAAATGAAAAAAAATGTCAAATATTCACAGCGAATCGGTGAGGGAAGGGGAACTTGACGCTAGATTTATTTGTTTGAGTAAATGGAAGCACATCCAAAGTCATTTAGTGCTGTGGAAAAAGTAAGACAAGACAGGCAGACAATAAATACAGTGACTGGAGAAGAAAGACGTAGAACTTACTAGCGAAATACAGTATAACACGCATAGCTCAAATTTGTCGGGACCGGCCTCGGTAGTTCAAAGGATCCGTAGTTCAAGGGATATCTTACAAAGATAAAGAAGAAAAAAAGCCGGACGGCAGGCGCAGTTCGACGGATGCGTGATTTCGGGTCTGTCTTCTGTGTTCGACCTATCCGCGTTATTCTGTATGTTAGAAAATATATCGTCTGTTCGGTGTGAGACTGCTGTCATACGTCACTTTTCAAAATGGCGCATGGCGGGGTCTTCTACTAAGCAGGCGATACGGTCGCTTTTAAGGACAAGTGGGCTAACCCAGATTTCGGGGGTTTCCAGAAATTTTCCCCTACACCAAAAGTGGGAATTGCTCAACCTACAGGAGAAGTTTGGGTTTCATTGGTGTGTAGATTTGTTTGGTTATAGAGAAAACTCTCCTTGTCTTTTAGAGAAACTGAACAAGGGGCAAAAACTTTACTTTCGATTTTCTCAAACCAGCATTTTTCGGGATAGCCCCCTTGTACTTATTAAAAGCGACCATATATTGCTTGTTACCTTGCTCTGTTTATGCTGATATCTGGGAAGGCACCGGGCATTGGTGAAGGATAAAAACCCAAGCTTTCCGCGGAGTACTGGTACAGGAGGTGAGGTCCGTGCCAATTTCTGTCCTTCTCTTCTTTAGTCAAGAGGTGGTCTTTGCTGGCCATGGCTGTCAAAAGTCTCTCCTGTCGATGCAGCGCAATAGAAAGTTGGGTTTTTTTAGTTTTAGTTAGAGTTTTACGACACTTGCAACACAATAAAGTCATATAAGTGCCGAAGATTAGAGGAGTTACAAGGGAGTAACAAACATAAAAAAGGAGGAGAGATAAAAACGATACATGTTTGATAGGAAAGAAGGAGCAAACCACACCAGAGCACCTGCAAACCACCCACAAAGAAAGTTTTCTCATAAATTGGAAAGTGTGTCAACAATGGCCTTCAATCATCCATGAGGAGAAAAAAGGAGGGGGAGACTGAGGGAGAGAGAGAGGGAGAGGGAGAGGGAGG